GGGGGGGGGGGCGAAGAGTCGTGGGAGCAGCAGCAGGATGAGCCACCAGACAAGCGGTGCGCAGTGGTGGGAGCTGCCCCCCTCCCTGTGCCCCCTGGACAAGCTGCAGGTCTGTCCCACGCCTGCCCCAGCTGGGCAGTGCCTACCCTAGCCCCAGCCCCACTGCCTCCCTCACTGTGGGGGCTACTGATCTGCCCCCCCCACGCCCCTTCCCTCCCTCCTCCCCTTCCACCACACCAGACCTACCAGCTGGACACAGCTCTCAAAGCTGCCTGGCTTGTGCTCCTTGCTGCCAGTGTGCTGCACTGTGACTACGTGCACGCACGAGCATTTATCAGCCAAATTATCAGCCACTTCAGACCAATGTCCAATATGGTCAATTTTCTTTATATTGGTACTGATCTGATACCAGACTGATGTACCTATTTATACGTGTTCATTCGTGAATGAAAACTATAAGTAGAGGTGACAGCAGTTACTGTGATACTGCAGCACCCTACTGAAGGCAGCTTCAGACAGTGGCTGGACAACCAATTTGAAGAATTAGAAGATAAGAACAGATGACTAGTAAGTTGTTTTTATAAATTTCTTCCCTTAAGCATACTATATTTCTGCCTGTTAAGCAGACACAGCTCTGAGGAAGTGAGCTCTAGCTCATGAAGACAAGTTAAGGTTTTTTTAACGTGTACTTCTGAGATACAATAGCTTAGCCTCCTAGAAATGAAATTTGTGAAGGCTTCTTACTATTTGACACAATCATCTTTCTAACTCCTGTGCAATTAACATATTCTCTGAAAATCTGCAGATCATTCAGACTGAAGTTTAGGCTGGTTCTAGTCCTACTTCACAGAAGGTGCAATACTGAGGTTCTGGGAAAAGAATCAAGATAGAGGGGACCTATATGAGGGGCTAGTCGGTGAAGAAGTCCTGGATGAGTCTATGGACGATGAAGATCACCTCTGGAACCTGGAGGCGATAGCCTGCGGAACCCAATTTAGAGAGGCACAATAGATGGAACCCACATTCCAGCCCATCTGGGAGACAGAGGTTGCCAGATGGAAGCAACAAGTGGTTTGGCCAGAACTTTGCGACCAGCTGCCCTGCTGTGAGGTGAGAAAGGGGCCGTTATATCACATAAAAAGAGGATGGGGGGGGAAGAGGAGGCGGCAGCAGAAATCACAGTACCCCAATTGCACCAGCCAAATATGTTGTGGTTGGCTCACACAAACCCCATGGGTGGACACCTCGGCTGGGAGAAGACCATACCTAGGTTGACCTGTCAGTTTTTCTGGCCTCACCTTTATTGAGATGTGGAACAGTTCTGTGCTGCGTGCCCCGAGTGTCAGTAAGTCAGCCTTAAAAAATGCCCCAAGGTACCCCTACAGAGAAAGCTGATTATAGTGGAACCTTTTACCTGGGTGAAGTTGGACATCATGGGCCCCTTCCCCAAGACCAGCGGGGGACACCAGTTTATACTAGTGCTGATGGACTATGCAACCCTGAGGCCATCCCATTAGGATCGGTGACAGGCCTGAGGGAACTCCTGAAGTGGGTTTCCTGGGTTGGATTACCCTAGGAAATAGCTGCAGATCAGGGGACAAATTTTATGTCGAATGTCACAAAGGGATAGTGCCAGGTACTGAGCTTAAAACATCTGCACACATTGATATACCATCCCCAGACTAACAGACTGGTGGAGCGGTTTAACGGGACACTTAAGGCCATGTCTCAGTGGTGTACCCAGGAAGACCCACAGTGGTGGGATTTACTGATCCCCCTTCTGCTGTTTGCCATAAGAGAAGCATCCCAAGCCTCACTGGTCTATACTCCATTCATACTCATTTATGGGTATACCCCATGGGGTTTACTGGCTGTCATGCAAGAAGGGTGGGAAAGAACAGAAGGCAAAGGGGCCACTCCTTCCCAGTATGCTCTTGCTTTGAAGGACAGGCTTCAGAAAGCAAATAGAGTAACTGGAGATAATCTGAGGGAAGCACAGCAGAGGTAGAAACAGCAGTATGACAACAATGTGGGGGACAGAGAATTCCAGGTGGGACAAAGGGTGTTGATCTTATTGCCCAGCTCCACAAGTAAAATTTTGACTGGCTGGCAGGGACTCTTTGAGATAATATGCTGGGTAGCCCAGTTGACTACGAGGTGCTACACCCCAGGCCATAGGCGAGAAAAACAAATATACCATGCCAATCTGGTGAAGTTGTGGAGACAGCTGGAGGGACTCCTGGCTACTCCACTGACAGAGAAAGAGGAGTTGGGGAGGGTGCTGGAGGAGTCAACGGCAGGTCAGAAAGGGAAGAGGGAGGTCCCCATAGGAAGAAACCTTACTGCGGAGCAGCAGACGCAGTTAAGGTGGCTAGTCCAGGACTTCACAGATTTTTTAGCTAGATTCCAGGAAAAGCCAAAGGAGCAATACATCAAATTGTGACACCGGAGGGGGCTAGAGTGAGGGAGAGGTGGCAATGGATACCTTACCATCAGTATCCTTTGGTGAAAGAGGAAATAAAAAAAGATGCTAGAGCAAGGAATCATCCGGAAATCCAGAAGCCCCTGGCATAGCCCAATAGTGATGGTCCCAAAAGCAGATGGAACCTTGCAGCCATTAATTGATTTTTGCAAGCTTAACATCATCACAAACCTCATGATATTTTATTCTTGGTCTAAGCCTAAAAAATTTGTCGAGGTGTCTCTGAATCCCACTCCTATCCTCTAGCATATCTACTACTCCCCCCAGCTCAGTGTCACCTGCATACTTACTAAGGGTGCACTCCATCCCATCACCTTCCAGGTCGTTGATAAAGATATTGAACAAAACCGGCCCCAGGACTGACCCCTGGGGCATTCCACTTGATACTGGCTGCCAGCTAGACACTGAGCCATTGATTACTACCCTTTGAGCCCAACCATCCAGCCCATTTTCTATTCACCGTAACAGTCCATTCATCCACCCTATACTTCCTTAGCTAGCTTTTAAGAATGTTGTGGGAGTTCATATCAAAAGCCTTGCCGAAGTCAAGCTATATCACATCCACTGCTCGTCCCACATCCATAGCACCAGTCATTTTATCATAGAAGGCAATTAAGGTTGGTCAGGTATGACTTGCCCTTGGTGAATCTATGCTGACTGTTCTTAATCTCCTTCTCCTCCAAGTGCTTGGAAATGGATTCTTTGAGGACCTGCTCTATGATTTTTCTAGGGACTGAGGTGAGGCTGTAATTTTTTGGATCCTCCTCCTTCTCTTTCTTAAAGATGGGTATTCTATTTGCCCTTTTCCAATTGCCTGGGAACTATGAAAACTGCCATGTTTTCAAAGATAATAGCCAGTAGCTCTGCAACCACTGTTTTTAAAACGGAGAAGGAATGCTTGCAATACTATCTTCCTTCATTACTGCCGCTTGTGAAAGCATAATCAGGGAAAGGGGGGGGAAGGGGAGGCACATAAGGTGCCAGATGTAGTATCACATTGCATAAGGTTCTTTCTTTATTTCTGATGCTCTCCAACATCACTTTTGTGCTCAAGCAGGGGGGCTCGGAGGATGTCTACCTAGACGTAACTATGAAAGATCTATATAATAAGAAGGCCACACATTCAGGTAAAAAATCTTTTCTACTTAGAAAATAGCCAGTTTCTCAGACAGTCTGAAACTTGTCATTCATCTTCAGTAATACCAGAATAAGTTTTAATTGGTTAATACTGATGAACCTTAAGGGGAGCAGGAGGAGGATATGGAAAAAAACACCAAGGCTTTTCCATCATACTGTGCTCCACAGATTTGTGTACTTGAGAAAAAGCTTGTGCTTTGTATCTTAGGAGTACTTTAAGCAAATCCCCCAACCCAGACCCTTTAGAATACTGGCCCTTCTCATCCTATGAACTGTATGAGCAGTGCCATATGACTGGTATGAGGAAAGACCCAGAACATTTTGTTCCTGAGGTGGTGCCACAGCACCGTGTGCGTGTGTGCGCGCGTGCGGAAAGAGCGTCAGAAAACCCTTCTGGAGCCCTTTACAGTAACTTGGATTCAAAGAAATGACACTAAATTAGCAGGAAGTTGCAGAAGCCAGTTTCTGACTTTTCCCTTCTTAGCTTTGCACACCAAACAGCACTATATGTGGGTGAGTGTACATAAAGAGATACCTAGACTCCTTGAGAACCACAAAAATCCCACTAAAGACAAACTTTGAAAGCCTGAAGTCATTTTCTTTTCTTTCTTTCTTTAAATCTTCTCTACACCAGGAAGATGTGCCTTTTGAAGAGGCAAAAGTAAAACTGGCAGGTTTTCTGAGACAGTGCTCATTTGTTAATCAACTGATAAATATATACTCCTTCCCAGACCCTATCATGGATCTGCAGACCTCATTACAATTAAGAAAAATACTGAAACCTGTTCTTAAGAAAAATACTGAAACCTGTTCTCACATATTTAGAAATGAAAAATTCATTTTTTTATGCCCACTCATGCTTTGGCTTCTCTAGTAGAATGCTGTTAGTTGTTCCAATTTATGCCAGTTATCAAATTTGTCCATTAAAAACTGACTTCAAAACAATCTTAGAATTACTTTTATTACTCCAATCTTTTCTCTCTTACAAGTTACACTTTATTCCTAACACATGTAAACTACTTACTCTCCTCATTGTTTTACTGCTAAAACCCAAGTATTCAGCCTGACTACCTACTTTCCTGACAGACTACCTGATAGACTGCTGGAAAGCCCAGGCACCTACAGCCTGTAGTACCTCACCTGGTGGGGATCGTCTATACCATGGCACCAGTCTATCCCAGCCAGGACAAACCTGTGTACACGCTACCCATACCCCATGCACTGAAAGGCATGCTTCAAACCCACAAGTACACAGAAGAGATTGCTTGAGAGTGATGATGAACCTAGTGCATTCTCACTGGTGAACTTCTGGGTTTAGAGCATGCCTGCTAGCACAGCTGCACAGAGAATGCTCAGGCCTATCTTGAGCCAGGCCCCAATACAGACAAGCCCTTAGCAGCCTAAGATGTCCCTAAGTGTAGGCCATGGATACTTCACATAGAAAGACCCCAGGGCTTCCATACCCTTTACAGAAGAACTCTGAAATGTTGTTTTCATTCTAAGCCAGAACAAAAACAAGTTTTGAAATATAAAAATCTTTCACAAAATGGAGTAATCTTTTTCTTCTCCACTACACTGTTCACTTTAGTATACATGTCCAACGCAGTGGATTTACATAATTATTAGCCCTATTTAGCATACCATAAACAAAATCAGTATACAAGTATGGCTTGTGCATCAGTGTATGCTGGTTGATGGATCTGGGCAACAGACAAATATTTTCATATTTTAAAACCTGAGCAAGTTTTAAGGATTAAGGGAGGTATCCTGGAATCCTAATGCTTTCTTTCAATGTATGTAAAGCATAAAGGCATGGTTTTTAAGAATGCCCCTTCAAGGGTTAGACAAGGTTCTTTGGGTGAATCTGATATCTTTTATTAGACCAACTTAAATAGTTGGAGAACAATTTTTTAAGCAAACTTTTGGGTTCAAAAACTCTTCATCAGGCTGAGGAAGTTTCAGCAGTTGGTGTGTGCTCTTCCTGGATGGAATGAAAAGTAAAGAAGTCAGAGGCTGGGCTGGTCTACATACAAGACAGGCAGTCAGTGAAAATGTACACTGAGGAGTCAATGGGTGAGAGACAAGCTGGGTATGGGGGAGAGAAGAGGGATGAATAATGGAGAAGTACCTGTGAAGTCAGCTATCAGGCAGGTTATAATGTGTCATAAATCCAATGTCTATATTTAGTCCATGATTTTTAGTATCCAGGAGGTTGATGAATTAGAGTTCATAGGCTCGTCTCTGGGAAGTGTTTTTTAAGTTTCCTTTGAGGATCAGGACTGAGAGATTGGAGAGAGAGTGGTTTTCTTGTGAGAAATGTGCCCCCACAGGTAATTAGGTATTCCTGTCTTTGACATCTGACTTCCCAGGTACTGAGGGGGGGATTTAATAGCAGTCTTCAACCCCAGTTCCAGTGGTTGAAAAGAGGATGGAGCTAAACTATTCTCAGTGGTGGCAGATGGCAGAACAAGGAGCAATGTTCTCAAGTTGCAGCAAGGGAAGTTTAGGTTAGATATTAGGAAGGATTTTCTCACTAGGTAGGTAGTAAAACACTGGAACAGGCTACCCAGAGAAGTGATGGAAGCTCCATCTTTGGAGGTTTTCAAAACCTGACTAGACAAGACTTTGGTTGGGGTGATCTAACTGTGGATGGTCCTGCTCTGAGCAGGGGGTTGGACTAAGTGACCTCCTGAAGTCCCTTCCAACCTTAACTTTCTATGGTTCTATGATATCCAGAAGCGCTCTTTTGGGGACAGATCAGAGATTTCATATTTGCACTGGAGATTAGATGTGTACAAATATAAGCCATATAGAAGTGTACTTGAGTTGTAGTCTGCTATGTAATTAATTATTCCTTACAATTAACAGCTGTGCCTTCAAACTGAAGTATAGATTCTCTAGAAATCCCATGAGAAATGGGTTTAAAAATGGGCATGGGATAGCATCAATTTTATCCCTCAATTTCCTTCCTTTTGACATATTATGCAAGTATTGTCATGAATGTCAATATAAAAAAATATTCTTTCATTAACTTATCAAAAAAACCCAGCATTTTGGTAAATAAATATTCCATACTATAGTAACACCTAATTTTATATTTTATATAATTCTATGCAAATAATATAAATATTTATATTAATAAAATGCTATTGAAAATATAATTACACATCAATCCTTAAATTAATTGCCAACACAGTATATTTATTAAGCTTAATCAAATAAGCTGTAAAAGCAAAACAACCTTCAAACCTACACTGTAAGATGCTGTTTCCACTTCGGACTGTTTGTATTGTTGCATTTTTCTGTCTTCTTTGACTGTCCGTTTACTGAGACTTCTACATAAGGACTTGGTCCAAACCATTTATTTTTATTTTCTTTTAGTTTTGCTGAAATAACTGTTTAAACAATAAACGATAGTGAATATTCTATTCTATTCAGTAAGTTTCTGTTAAAAATGGTGCTCTCTTTGAAAGCGAGTTGTAGCCCTGTAGACACAAATTTGTCAAGAATGCATACAAAGTTATTTCCCACAATATACAACAAAATAGCTAAGTGGTAATATAAACAGTTATATGTAATGTAAATCTGCACACAAATAACTTTTACCTCCGATTTGCTAGCATGACAGAACCTAGTTTGTGCATCTTGACTTGAAATCTCAAAAAACCCCCAAAACAAAACATTAACTGAAGGTACTCAATTCACAAAAAAATTAAAAAATAAAAATAAAATCTAAGAGCAGAGAAATCAGTGCCCATCATTAGTTGTGGCACCAGAGTCTCTTACTTCCATGCAATTAGGCCAGTGGTGCTCACTGTTTTGGTCCTGTGGGCTGAATGAGTGGCATGGGGCTGGTCAGTTGGCTGAATCAGGTCATGTACCACCCCTGCACAGCACCATACACCAGGTTTGGGCATCGGGGCTCCTTTTGTTCCCATGTGCCATGATTGAGCTTCCTCTATGCTGGATTCATCAGGGAAGGACCACAGTTCCCGGGGAGCCCAGCAGGATGCCAGGAGCCAGATCTGGCCCAAGGGTTGAGCACCCCTGAACTACACAGTTACAGAACAGTGGAAATTTCTCCAACATGCTTAGATGATAATTCAAAAGGGGGGCAGCAAGGAAAAGCATGAGTGCACATGCACATGATTTGAAATAAAACTAATCAATTCAATCAGTTTGCTTCAGGTTACAGTGGTCTGACCAACAATGGCTACAATCTAGGGCCTCTGCATGTAACCCTAACATTTTGAATATCTTACACGTTCTCCCATTTTAAACATAACTTCACACAAAAGAACTACATTACTTAGTTTTGAATGTTCAGCTATGACAGATTTAATTGAATCCACTTGTGATTTCTGGATATCAGAAGTATTAAAATTAAAAAAAAACATTAAAAATAGACTTAATATACTTGAGAATAGGCTCTTTTTCTTTTGGTGTAGAGCTAACAGGCATTTTCCATTCAATGCATTCTAGAGCTGAAGCCTGGTAGTGGAATGTATATATTCTTCTGTTCATTCCTGTTCAGCCCTGCCCAAGTTTTGAATAAACTTAGGACAGAGGTTGGCATCATGTGACCTGTGGGCCAGCTCACATAGCTGCAGGGCTTTGCCTACACCTGTGCCTAAGTTGGGGCTGAACAGTGGCGGTGCAGACACAGATTTCAACTGCATGGCTCTGGCAGGGACACAGGAAAGCTCCCCTGATGTTAATGTGCTGCCAAAGCCACCTGGCCCACTCTGGACTGGAGCCAGGTTGTTCCACTCATGGCTTGAAAAAGGATACTGGCCCCAAGCTAGGACATCCAAACATGTATTTGAGGTACAGACAGTCCAACTGTCTTAATTCCCAGCAACAAGCTTCACCTAAAAGATGATTCTCTGTAGTATGTTTGTTATCTGCCCTGAAATGCTAATTTGTCTATCATGTTCACTACAGCTACTAACCACTTTTAAATTACATCCCGTTCAAAAAGTATATTCACTTGAAGAATGAAGTTGATTCCTTTGAGGACTGCTGTACAAACAAAAAAGCAACAGAATTACACCTGCAAAGCTACTGCCAATCCTTGTATTACGAAGTATTCCACTAGCAGAGAAGTTAATATCACATTGCAATATTTATTCCTGCTGAGCTAAAGCACTAAGTAATGTTTAAGGCATACACAATACCAAAAGAACTGATTTGAGACTATAAGAATGCAATCCAGACACTTGGCTGATGCCACATAACATATGCAAGTCTAAAATGAAGTGTCAGGTCATAGGTGTCCTGATAGTCATGTTCAAGAAAGCAAAAGTTGACTATGAATATGAAAACATGCACAAAGCACTCAAAAAAAGTCATCGTGTATTCAAAACAGGATTTCATAAAACGCCATGGTTTACTTGCAATACACAGGGGAGGAGGGTGTTATTTTTTACTGTAACACCACTCATCACTGGAGCTCTCCTTTGCAATAAAATCACCATGAAAAAGATGCACAACTGAATTTAAAGCAGCATAAATCCAACACTTCGGAACCACTAGTATTCAGAAATCCCATTCAGTTGCAACCTAAACCTACGCTATTCTGAAGATCTTGTGCATGTAAATTTCTGTCAGTGGGCATGTTATAGAGGGGTGTCTTGAGGCTAAAAATGTTGAGAATCACTGGTCTAAAATCCTTGGTCTTTGGTTACAAACACTTGAAAGTGGGCATCTCTATGTAAAATGCTACTGCCACTCTGAGCAAAAAGAAACTAGCTGGTTAAAACCAAATTTAGCTCTAACTTGTGATCTGGGGCTATACACTTTAACCAAGAAGAATGATAGTTTGCCTTACAATTTTGGTTTGAAGCTCCAATTCTTTTTGCCAAGACTACTGAAGCAGATGCTCTTACTAATAAGACTGCATTCTGGTACTGGTGAGTTTACTTTGATAGGTGCTATTGCTTTGGTATCTAAAACCAGGTATTTTGGTCTCCTGTTTGGATGTCAACTGAGTATCCAAAGAGCTGGCATGGAACCTAACTGCCTTTCTTTTTTTTCCACCCCCTCAGAATCGAGTAAATTCTGATAACAAAAAGATTATCTTCAAAAGGAAATCCTGAACTCTCCCTGCATCATCAATATGGCACGATTGGGATCAGTTCCCTGATCCCACAAATCGTGTCTCCTGCCTTGCTTGTATGGCATGGCAGGAGGTGTGATTGCAGATTTGATCCCATCACACCCTCAAATTAATGTCTGTCAGGGGCCACATGTGGACAACTTTTACATTTTTTCCAAGGATAGAGAGAAAACATTTTCATAGTTGGTAGTTTCATAGTTGGTAAGGTTGGAAGGGACCTGAGCAGATCATCAAGTCTGACCCCCTGCCATGGGCAGGAAAGAATGCTGGGGTCAAATGACCCCGGCTAGGTGATTATCTAGCCTCCTTCTGAAGACACCCAGGGTAGGAGTGAGCACCACCTCCCTTGGAAGTTGGCTCCAGATCCTAGACACCCTGACTGTGAAGTAATGTCTCCTGATGTCCAGCCTGAATCCACTCCCAGTCAACCTACGGCCGTTATTCCTTGTTACTCCCAGTAGTGCCCGGCGGAATGGGGACTTCCATAGCCTGCAGGTCCCCCTTGGACAGTTTGCAGACAGCCACCAGATCCTCACTCAGCTTTCTCCTGTGGAGGCTGAACAGGTTCAGGTCCCGCAGCCTCCACTCATAGGGCCTGCCTTGCTGCTCCCTGATCATGCGAGTGGCCCTCCTCTGGACCCTCTTGATGCTGTCCACATCTCTCCCGAAGTGCAGCGCCCAGAACTGGACAAAATACTTACTAGTGATCTGAAGCTGTGATTTCATGGCAAAACCACTGGAAGATCCTGACCTGGAACCACTACTGGCCATAATCCAGATAGGCTAGATCTTAGAACCTGAAAAAAGATGCAATGAAAATATTTTAAGCCTCATAACAGCAGTAGCTAGAGCATCAGAACAAATAGAGAGAGCGCAGCCAATTATGCATCAAAATACAGTTATTGCACCTTGGTCTGCAAAGTTATGTTTACACATCATTCTCGACTCATAAGTACGCTGTCATCTTACGATGACACTCATTTTATGAGGCCCTCACAAAGATTACTAGTAAAATCTAAAAAAAATAAAAATAAAAATAAAAATCTTTTTGGCATGCTTTTGCTATGCAGTGAATAAAAGAAACACCACATTTATTTAATTTCCAGTGATTTTCCTCTTTTCCCTAGATGTAAAAGATATATTTCATGTGTCAGGTAGTCAGTACACAGTTTACACCAGGAATGGACAATTATTTTGGCTAGGGGGCCTCTTTCTGTAGTTTTGGTGGCTGTCAAGGGCCATACCCCTGGTCGCCATCTTGGGACCAGAAGTCCAGTGCCCTAATCCCTGACGTTTGCTAACAAAAGTCCCTCCCCCCTTTGGGAGGGAAGAGGAAGTACTCCTTTGGGGGAGGGGGGTTGTCATCTTGGAACTGGAGAAAAACCAAACTGTATATTAAAAGTCAAATAACTACTATAACATTTTAATTTTATTTCAAAAAAATATTTTTGTCCTAACCTGTGTGTGTTTGTGTTGTATACATAGAGAGAATATTGCATAATAGCTCAAAATAAAGTATTACTCTTGTATAGTGTCTGTGGGATGTGGTTGGGGGAGTGCACTGCGGGAGAGGGAGGGAGTGTGAGGGTATGGTGTGGTGTGCATGGCACCCCCAGTGAACTGCCACTGGCAGCAGCAGCAGGCAGCATGCTCTCAGTGTGATCATGAGCCACACACATGGAGCCCCTCGGCACAGCTCCAGCCAGTTCTGGCCCACCTTCATCGCACAGGGCTCCCAGTGGCTCATGTGCAGCTCCTGGGAATCACATGCTGCTGCGAGGAAGGGCAGCAAGAAGGGACGAAAGCAGGAACTCCCCACTTACTACTGCCATGCTCCCACCGCTGACAGTGCTACAGCTGCCCCCAGCTGCTGGGGGGGCACACAGCATTCAGGCATGTTCCCACCTTCCCTCCATGCTGCCAACCAGCTGCAGTTTCCCTTGCCTGCCCCCTTTTCCCTACCTACTGCCTGGAGTGCTGCAGCAGGGACACAAGGAAGAGTTGCTGGAGGTTGGGGGAGCTGAGCATCCCTGGGTGGCTGTGGCAGTGGCAACAATAGCTCTATCTGGAAGCTGGGGCAAGAGCCCTCCCATGCACAGGGGTGGGAGTGCAGCACACTATTATTGGGAGTAGGCAAAGCTCGGCCCCATGAGGAGGGCAGCAGGATCAGCCATGGGCTGAACCAGGTAGAATTGGTGGGAAGCTGCCCACAAGCCGGATGAAAATCACCTGGTGGGCCGCATCCAGCCCACCCCCTATTTACACCATTACATTTTGATTACTTGCAGACATTCAGTTTCTCCTGGGGGAGCCCCTGCTTTCCCAGGAGAAAATCACAAGTGTACAGATATTCAGGCATTTTCTCCCAGAGTAATAATGGTCACTCCAAGAGAAAAATAACCTGGGAACAACCAGGGTTAAATCACTTTCAGGAGAGTGAATGTCTGTATATACTGACAATGCAGGCTGGGTGGTTTGGGTTAGCCAAACTACCAAAATGGGCAGTTTGGATTAGCCAAATCAGGGCTGCCCTCTGTTGCCAGGCAGATGAAGCGAGTCTGCAGAGCATACCAGGATGTGTGCAAATAGTGCAGATCACATTTTGGAGGGTAGAACTAGTACCCACAATGATCTGGACTGGCTGGAGGAACAGTCAACAAAACCAATCAATCAGATTAAATTTGACAAAGTGGAAAAGACTGATAAGTCTACAGAACTTTAGAAAAGGACCTGGAACTTATAATGTACCACAAACTGAATATCAACCAACAGTGTGCTCTTGTTGCAAAAAAAAGCCTAACACATTGGGCTTTATTAACAAGAGCGTCATTTAACAAGGGAAGTGATTCTTCCACTATTTGGCAGTGGTGATGTCTCACTTTGAGAACTGCATCTAGTTTTGGGTCCCTCACCTCAAAGATAAGAATAAATTAGAATCCAGTGAAGAATATCAAAAATGAAAAGAATATCAAAAAATAATCAAAAATTTGCTTGTCCCATTTTGTCCACTCCATGATCAGGTTTAAAGAGCCCAGTTTACCCTGTCGGCAGCCAGTCTAGGAGCAGAGTCTCGAGAGACAGACAAATAGATGATCTCCTTGCTCTGACACCTCCTGCAGCCAAGCTGTTTCCAAATATACTGGCACCTGCTTTTCCTCTGAATTAAAACAGCAAAGCTGAAAGAGAGACACTGATATGTGAATAGTTCAGTGTCTACATATACACTACCCAGGCTTTTTACACCCTGAAAAGCAGGGCTGGATTAATGCACAGGCAAACTAGGCACATGCCTAGGGCCCTAAGCCACCCTCCCATCCACCAGCCTCGCCA